AGAGGCCAGCCAGCCGTCATCCTGCTGCACGGAGCTATTGCCAGAGCCCACCGCAGACGGAGAGCTTGAGTCTGCTGCGACACGGGAGCCAGCGCATAAAACCGCAACTGAGCCTCTCGAATTGTCTGACCAGGTGCGTGAGCCGGCTACATCACCCGTTCCCGAGGGAGTTTTGGTGGAGATCGAGGGCTTGGAGGGAAGCCCCGCCCACACTCCTGCCGCTGAGGGTGAGCTGCAGCTGGCCTCTAGGAATTATTTATGAGGGACTAATGGACATCTTTGATATGGACCTAATAGACTGGTTTGGGGAGGTATTACCCAATGCTCCCGAGTCTCCTATGTCTCCGCTGGTTCCGTCCAGCCCTGAATCTCCTGGGTCTCCACTGATTCCGCCCAGCTTCTGTCCTCCTGTGTTCCCTCGCAGCTTCCCTCTCCTGCCTCCTCCCAGTTCCTCAAGTTCCTCAGCCCAATCTCCGCTGGTGCCTGTCAGTCCCTCAGTTCACCCTCAGTCAGCGCGCTCTGATCGCTCTGATCCGTTGCCTCGGGACTTCCAGTCTCCAGCTCCACCTAGGCGTGAGGATCCCCTGTCTCTGCCTCCAACCTTCGAGCTTTGGACTCCACCTCGGTCCTTCGACCCATCGGCTCCGCCCCCCTCGGCTCTGCCTTGGCTCCTTGCTCCCTTGTCTCGCCCATCACCCATCATCCCACTGGCTCCACCGGGCTCCCTCGTCCCTCCGACTCCACCTTGGTCAGTTATCCGCCGCCTCCGGCTCTGTCAGGCTATTCCTTTCCTTTGGCTCCGCCTTCATCCTCAGTTGCTCCGGCTCCGCCGCGGTCTTCCGGATCCCCGTCTCCGCCTCAGTCACCTGAGCCTTCAGCTCCGCCTTGGCCCTCCGGATCCTCAGTGTCGCCCTGGCTCTCCGTCTGCTCGGCTCCTTCCATCGGCTCCATCTCCGTCAGTTGTCCCCAGGGTGTCGTTAAGGCCTTCTCCACCATGGCTCCTCCCTCCCTTGACTCCACCCTGGGGCTTCATCTTGGCTGGTCTCGTGACACACATCTGGCTTCTCCTGCTTCTGGCTTTCCCTTGGCTTCTCCCACCCTCCACTCCCCCATGGACTTATTTTTTGGACTCTTTTTGTTTCTGCCCCTCTCCTGCTCCACGCCCTCCTCCTGAGCCCCCACCATCCCTCCCTCCTCAGTTGGAATATGTTACGGCACAGGCCTTTGTGGGAGGGGGCGAACTGTCACATGCCTGTTGTTTTCAGTTAGCCTGTTCCCCTGTGACCTAGTTTCATCCTCATGCGGCATGGATATTGTTCCTCCTTGTCTTCTAAAAGATTCATTTGAAACTATTGGTCCTAAAATTCTTGCAATTATTAATAGTAGCCTGGCCTCGGGAGTTGTACCTAAGCCTTTTAAACATGCAACAGTGGAACCAGTAATCAAGAAATCTCATTTGGATTCATCAGTTTTTGCTCATTTTAGACCCATCTCAAAATTTCGGTTTCTTTCCAAACTACTGGAGAATGTTGTATTTGGACAATTGAATTCATTTCTAGATCTACATGGTATTCACAAATTGTTTCAGTCAGGTTTTAAATCTTTACATAGTACAGAAACTGCACTGTTGAAGGTTTTTAATGACTTGTTACTTGCTACTGACTCAGGGGACTGTGCGATTTTAATTCTACTAGACCTTTCGGCTGTAGTTGATACTGTAGACCATAAGATCTTGATTACACGCTTAGAACAATGTGTTGGTATTAAGGGCACTGCGTTGGGATGGTTTAGATCCTATTTGTCCGAAAGAACTTTCTCAGTTCGCGTTGGAGATTTTGTCTCCTCAACTGCTTCTTTCACGTGTGGGGTCCCCCAGGGCTCCATTTTGGGGCCTATTTTGTTCTCCCTGTATATGCTCCCCTTAGGACATATTTTTAGGAAATTTGGTATTACTTTTCATTGTTATGCAGACGATACGCAAATTTATCTACCTTTGAAACTGTAATGTGGGGTTTGGGTTTTGTTTTTGTGTCATGTCCTCATGTCTTTTATTTTGGAATTATTTCATGCTGTTAGTTCATGACATTTTCCGTCATGTTTCCCTTGCCCTCTTGTCTTCATGCCATTGGTTCCTCTGTTCTTTGTATCATGTTCTGATTGGTTGTCTTAGTCATGTGTCTTGTTTCCCATTGATTTGTTCATGTCATGTGACCCTCATTCTCTGCTATATCTAGCCATCATGTTCCCATTGTGCCCTTGTCGTGTATTGATGTTGTAACCCGCTGGTGGTGAGTCTAGTCTGTTTAGGCCTCGTCAAGTCTGTTCTAGTCAAGTCTGTTCATGCCTCGTCAAGTCTGTTCTAGTCAAGTCTGTTCAT